GAATGTTGGGATTCATTAGGAAAGGGATAGATAAGACAGACAATATCATATTGCCTCTATATAAATCCATGGAACGCTCACATCTTGAATACTGCATGCAGATGTGGTCGCCCCATCTCAAAAAAAGCTATATTGGAATTGGAAAAGGTTCAGAAAAGGGCAACAAAAATTATTAGCAGTATGGAACAGCTTCCATATCAAGAGAGATTAAAAAGACTGGGACTGTTCAGTTTGGATAAGAGACAACTAAAAGGGGATATAATAAAGGTCTATAAAATCATAAATGGTGTGGAGAAAGTTAATAGGGAAGTGCTATTTACCCCTTATCATAATACAAGAACCAGGGGACACCCAATGAAATTAATAGACAGCAGGTTTAAAACAAACACAAGGCAGTACTTCTTCGCACAACACATAGTCAACCTGAGGAACTTGTTGCCAGGGGATGTTGTGAAGGCCAAAAGCACAACTGGGTTCAAAAATGAACTGGATAAGTTCATGAAGGATAGGTTCATCAATGGCTATTAGCTAAGATGGTCAGGGTGTCACGGAGTGTGGGGGAGTCAGGGCCCTGCACCCCCCACTTCCTGCGATTCACCGTGACTCTCAGCCAGCCAGTAAAACAGAAAGTTTATTAGACGACAGGAACACAGTCCCAAGCCGGGCTTGTGGGTACAACCAGGACCCCTCAGCCAGGTCCCTCTGGGGTGCAAGGATCTTAGACCCCAGACTTGGGTTCCCTGCCTCTTCCCAGCCAGCCCAAAACTGAAACCAAAAAAAACTCCTCCAGCAGGCTCTCTCCCCCTCTCCCTTTGTCGAGTTTCCCGGGAAAAGGTGTCGACTCCGCACCCCCTTCCTGGCTCAGGTACCGTCCCTCACCTGAAGTCATCCTCTGCTCTCCCATCCCCCATGCAGACAGTTCCAGCAAAACTAAAAGACATTCCCACGTCAATCCACCCCGCTCCCTACTGCGTCACACAGGGATGCAACCCCATGCTTGGGTGCCCCTAGCCTCTGTTTGCCAGAAGCTGGGAATGGGTGACAGGGGATGGATCACTTGATGATTGCCTGCTGTATTCATTTCCTCTGAAGCACCTGGCATTGGCCACTGCGGGAAGACAGGATACTGGGCTAGATGGACCATTGGTCTGACCCAGTATGTCCGTTCGTATGTTCTTAGGAGGGGATTCTGTCCAGCAGGGAAAGCGGATGGGGGCTGTCTCTCTCCCCCACTCAGCTGCTGAGACCCTGGGCCCTGCCGATCTTGCTCCCCCACAACGCAGCAGCAGCTGCCAACTGGGAGTTCCCCTCCTCTGAGTATGTGTACTGTGTCAACTAGTGGGGACGCTGAGGTGGAGAGACAGGTGCGAGGAGATCCAATACTGGCAAAATTTGGGTTAAAAAGAATAAAACCCGAACAGTTGCTTTTTTAAAACCCAGCAATTTTTCAGGGAAATTCAGTCAAACACAGACTTAAATATTCTCCATGGTATTCTCTCTCTCATTCCTCATGCACCCGAACATTGTTTGCAGCTGCACATTTGAGAGAAGTCAATGAAGATGTCGGCTCAATGATGCCCAAGTCCCTTTCTAAGGTCTGGCCCACACCAAAAACTAGGTCAGCCTTGCTACGTCGCAATGTAGTTAGTTGGACCTAACCCCTGGTGTATATGCAGCACAGCCAATAGAAGGATTCTTCCCTCAACCTCACTACCACCTCCCAGAGAGGTGGCTTATCCACCTCAACAGAAAAATCCCTTCCACCACTGAAGGAAGTGTCTACACTACGCACTACAGTGACAGCTGCTGTAGCTGTGCCACTGTAGTGTAGACATGGCCTAAATTGAGAGTTAATTTAGAACCTTGGAAGCTGTCTGGGTAATTAAATTTTTCCCTCCTCTGTGCAACACTCTGCATTTATCAACACTAAAATTTCATTTGCCATTATCAGAGGGGTAGCCGTGTTAGTCTGGATCTGTAAAAAGCAACAGAGAGTCCTGTGGCACCTTTAAGACTAACAGATGTATTGGAGCATAAGCTTTCGTGGGTGAATGCCCACTTCGTCGGATGCATGTATTCACCCACGAAAGCTTATGCTCCAATACATCTGTTAGTCTTAAAGGTGCCACAGGACTCTCTGTTGCTATTTGCCATTATGTTGCCCATTCATCTAGTTTGGTTAGGTCCCTCTGAAGTTCCTCAGTCCTCTCCTGATTTGTCTAACCTAATAACTTATCTGCAAGTTGCTGCCTCACGGCTCACCTCCGTTTTCAGATCATTCATATAATAAACCCCAAACCTAACACAGAACCTTGAGACCTCAACTGTTAAACTTTTGCCAGGAAGTAAAATTGACCTTTATTTTCTTTTCCTAGTTTTTGATCCATGACAGTACTTGATACTTCGCCTCTCTCCCTGTGACTATTTAGTTTCTTCAACAGTCTCTTGTGTGGGGCCTGTCAAAGCCTTTTTAAAAGTTTAAATAAGTTATGTCAAGCTAGACCACCATACAATATAAACTTTAAAACATTTGTGTAAGACTTTAGTCCGAAAGTTTCCAACCAAGTACAATAATGTTACTGATGTGGAAAGATTCTGTATTTTGTTCTTAAACATAAATACATGGAGACAATAGGGTACAACACTAGAGACATGAGCATTCTGGGCACAATCCAGACAAGAATTTAAGCATATGCTTAACTTCAGACATGCAAATAGTTCCACTGAAATCAATGGAGCGACTCACATGCTTAAGCACGTACTTAATTTTTAAGCGCTTTGCTGGATTTGTGTCAGCTTGCATCAAACTCTGCTCAGCAAGTGAAATGCTTCCTCCACCGTGCGTTTAACTGCACCACTCAGTGTTACAGTCCAGTTTTTCTTTGTTTAGAAAAGAATAAAAATAAAGGTAAGAGGAGATAATAACTTAACAAAACAAATCTAAGGGCAAATAGGTGGCCTGTGTATAAAGTACAAGCACAGACTATCTACAATACTCAGGGAGATGTGTGCAAGGGGGGAGACAGTGGCGCAGATTCTGACCTGCACCAAGACTGACTGAGTACAGGAGAGCACAGTGGGCGGCTGGTTACAGCTCCGTTATCTGGGCCGGGCCTGACATAAGTTACAGCAATGTAGGGGCTGCTCTGATGGTAGGCAGTTGAATGCACCATGGTCCAGGTCTTAACCCTTCAGTTGGGGTCTGTCAGCTCTGCTATGGGAGCCAACTATGTTGGTTTAATGGCTGCTGGGGACAGGAGTAGCACGAATTTGGCCCTCTTCTCATCGCTCAGCTTTGACTCACTGAGTGTGGGGGGTGCATCTATTGTTTGATCAGAGGTGTGAACAGATTTGAGACAAACGTAGATTGTATGTTTACATGTGGAATTAACTGTCAGGAAATCCTAAATCAACCGTTGCAAGACTCTATAGTGGCACAATCTCCATTCTGCCACAGGAGACTGAAACTAAGAATCAAGTAAAAGTTTTGTGCAGGTATGTACTAAAGCGAATAAAGATTGATTTTTAATATTCTTTTATTTCTACTTATATACAACGCCTCACAAAGGGCTGAGTGGACTTCTAAATTTGCAAAGAAAATGTACTGTTTTGTTTTCAAAACAATAAGCTAAAGTTTCAGACCAGAAAGTCAGTAAATCAGGCAAAAGCTAACTTATAACTTTTGCAAAGCACAACCAGTCTATTCTATCCATTCAACAGTGGTCACTTGCCAAACTTTCTATGCAGGCACAGTGCCTCTCAGGAAGTGCTCACATCCAGACTTAATGGAGCTCTCTTGCACATGCCACACACAGGCTATTCAAAAGCTTTATAACTTAAGTCAAAACCAATGGTTTCCAACATATAGTAAGCTGATTCACTAATATGTTGCAAATAAAAGCACGGAGTTTGGGTTGTTATATGTGGCTCATGTGTGTCTAAATTAGCCTCTCCAATCCACGAATCCCAGAAGCCGAACAAGTTTTATCAGCAAATGATTGTCCAAAAACACATTATAAAAGTTTGAGTAATTTTCATGTTTGAAAATTTTCAGTCATCTGATGAGGCAGCACAAATACCATGGAACTTAAATCACCAGCCATAACAAACCTACTGCACATACGAAGAGAGCAGCTTGCTGACTGCCTGAAAGCAATTCACACTTTGGGACCTCAGAGCCTAACCGTGCTCGGTGATGAGATCTGACACGATCTCAGCCCAAAGTACAGTCCAAAGTACAATGAGTTTCTTACTCACACAGTCAGTGGCACAACACAGCTCAGAGCATGCTCATCCCTTGCTCCTACTCTTTACCTCAGCCTCATCCCCAAAAATGGGGTCAAAAGTCCAGTAACATTTATTGAACACCAAGAGTGCATTCATCCCTATATAAATATGAAGGATGCTGCCATACCTATACCAGACAGTGTAACGTGAAAAAATTAGCCCACCCATAACTTATGCACCTAAAGCTGCCTTGCAACATATTCTGTTTTTCCCATCCAGCAAACTGAAGAAATTTAGCTTATTTCTTCTCTTGCAGAAAAGCCCAAGAGTTTGAGGCAGCAGCTGTTCTGAAAGTACCAGAAAGACGGCAAAGCTCCACAAGATTAGGGACTAGAACAAAGTATCCTAATAGCACTGCCAGCTTCACACTAAGGTGCAGAGACAGATCCCAGTTCCATAGGACAAAAGTAACCTAGCGGGTGACCTGTCTAGCTAAAAATAGGGAGTTCATGCATCCAGTAGGAGTGCAGGCACAACTATAGCTCTGCAAAGAGTGCATTTCCAGTTTTCTCATGCTTCTTAAGAGCCCAGTCATGCAGGGAAGACGAGAAGACTAGCTAGCCCTCTGTGGAAATGCCACCTGTTGGAGCTACTCAACCTGGAACCACGGTTGTGTGTCTTGCAGGTGAGACAGGGCGTGGGCAGTTTTGTATGGCTCTCCTGCAGCCAGCTCTCCTGACAGGAAGGAGGGAGGCGGGGCAGGAGTTACTTACATGTTCCGCTCCCTGTCAGTGCTCTCGTACTCTAGGAAGACGATCTGCCGGGGATAGTGGCCACAAATTTCCCCATTCACATTCTGGATCAGGCTGTAGCAATAGTCCCTGCCAAACAGCTCCAGGCAGCGCTTCTCAATCCTCTCCACCTGCAAGACAGCCAAATCTACAGCTCAGGGGCTGGAGCTCAGGCACAGGACACCTCTGCTATCCTCCCCACCACAGGCCTTGCCCGAGCCAGGAGGGGGCTGGCGGGGCTTGGCCCAGCTGGAGGCGAGGTGCTTTCAGGGCTCGCCCAGCCAGAAGGGGGAGAGGGTGTCAGGGGCTCTCAGACCAGGGAAACCGGGGGGGGGTCCCCGCGGGTATGTCTCGGCACAGCCGGGAAAGGGGGGGGCTCCCAGGGGCTGAGCAGGAAACGGGACGTGTCTCGGGGCCGGCTGGGGGGTCTCTCGGGGGTCTCGGCGCGACCCGGGGGGCGGGGGTCTCAGGTGCCGGCAGGGGAGAGCGGGGCCTCCCGCGGGCTGGGGGCGGGCGGCGGGGTCCGCGGCGGGTTGGCCTCAGCCTCTCACCTTCGCGCTGCTCCCGGCCCCGCCGCCGCCCCCGTCCTTGGCCCGATACTGCGCCCGAGAGAACTCGAGCAGCAGCTCGGCCAGAGCCCGCTCCCCGGAGCCCGCCTGGGGGCAGCCCCGGGCCCCCGCCATCCCCGCCCGCTCACGGCTCCCGGCCCATCGCGGCCCCGCACTCGGCCACCCGGCGGCTTCCGTTCCCCACTTCCGGGGCCACAGCGCGCACCGGAACTTCGCAGTAGGCCCAGCCAATCCGCTGCCTGGAGGGGGACACGGAGGCACCATCCCTTCCGGGCGCGGGCGTGACGTCATCACATCGCGACGCCGCGACTCGAGCACGTCGCTCCCACTATAGCCGCGCACGCGCCCGGCCGGGTCCCCGCGTGGCCTCTGAGCAGATTCCTCCTGCCCCGCCCCCGCCTGCGCGAGCCCCCCCAGCCCGCCCCCGCCCCTGGGCCCCGCGGCTCGGGCGTGGCCGGTTGCTCGCCCCGGGGCTGGGGGCGGGGCCGGGGGCGGCCCTGTTACTCCGCGCGCAACAGTTTCACATTTTGCAAATCTTCTTTGTGAAATCCCCGGGGCGGCTGCAGCCTGTCACGGGGCGCCCAGGCCCCCCCCCCCCCGGCACCGGGGGGGGGTGTGCGGGCGCGCCCCCCCCCCCCCCCCCCCCCACAGACACGGACTCCGCGGTCAGGCTGCACCCGCCCCTGTAACCGCCCAAGGACCCGGCCTGCCCCGAAACACCCCAGGGCCCTGCCCCTCCGTGCCAGTGCACCGGTGTGGGCAGCCAGGCGGGCTCTTAGCGTGGGGGGACCTAGGTGTGGGTTGAGAGGGTTCTGGGTGGGACAGTCTGGGTGCGGGCGGCTCAGGGGGGGATCCGGGTGCAGGGGGATCTGGATGCACACGGGGTTGTTGGGGGGTTCTGGGTGCAACAGTAATGGGACTCTGCAGGGGGGTCCAGGTGAAGGTGGTTGGGGGGAGGTTGGCTGGGGGGGAGCTTGGTGGGGGGGGGTTGGCTGGGGGGGCTCAGTGGGGGGGCAGATGCTGGGGGAGTGGGGCTCAGTGGGGTGGGGCTCCAGGTGCAGGTGGCTCCTCGGGGGGGGGTTCTGGGGGCAGGGGGGTTGGGCAGATGGGGGAGCAACTCCCTGTACACCCTCCCCCTACAGCTGAGGAGCGATGGGTGCAGGAAGCAGGTGGGTGGGGGGAGGGAAGTGGGCAGAGCTTCCTGCAGCCAGGGGAGAAATCTGGGGGTGGGTCCGGCACAGCCCCGGAAGCCATGCAGGGAAGAGGAAGTCCCATCCTCCCCAGCCCAGCCAGGACTAGCAGCTGAGCCCAGTGCAGGGTAAGAGCCGCCAGCGGGGTCTTCCCCAGTCCCGCTCCCTGCCCCACGGTGATTTACCTCTCTGCTGGCTGCCCTGGGCACCCAAAACATGCTGCTGGGGAGGGTCACATGACTGCTCTTGTGGCTTCCCTTTGCTTCCCCATCAGAAAGTCATTTTTCTGCAGGGAAGCAAAGAAATCTGTGGGGGACATAAATTCTGCGCATGCGCAATGGCAAAGAATTCCACCAGGTGTAAGTAGAACTCTGACTGAGCCATCCCCTGAGTGATGTAAGTTACACCCACCTCTGCGGTAGGTCTGTGGACTGCCGCTCCCATCGAGACCACTTCTCCGACAGGAGCTGTCTCCCTTCGGCATAGAGCATCTTCACCAGACGCACTGCCGCTACACTGCTGTAGCACTTCTAATGTAGACCAGCCTGGAAAGAAAGTAAGCTCAGGGTGCTGCTGGTTCAGGAGCTGGCAACTGCCAGCATGTACATCCCTGCCTCTGCTGCAGCCCAATTACACAAAGGGATGGGGAGCCTCTTTGTCCTGTGTCAGCGTTGCCTGCCATACTACTTCACCCCCAGGCCAGAGTGGCTGCCCTTGGGAGGCCTCCAGGCTGCTCTCTCCAGCCTTTCCCCACCCTGCAGATCGTCTCGTCACATCATTATGCCTCCATATCAGGGCAGATCTGACATGTCCAGCTGTTTTGTCTCTGGCTTGTCTGAGCTGTGCTGAAATACTCAGACGCTCACAGCAGCTGCCAGGCCTGGCACGGGGTCCTGCAGGAGTCAGATGAACCGTTTTGTCAAGGCTTTTCATGCTTCACTAGGCTTCAGTTCGAGCGAGTGGTTCTGACATGCAGCAAAAAAAGCAGGAGTTTGTCCTAATCTGTGTACTGGCTGCGAGAGCGAGGAGGCAGCAGTGTACAGGAGCATCCAGGCTGTGACACTAACCTTGTCTACACTCAGGGGTAGCTGTGTTAGTCTGTATCCACAAAAACAACAAGGAGTCCGGATTTAGATTAATCTGTTAGTCTTTAAGGTGCCACCGGACTCCTTGTTGTTCTTGTCTACACTACAAAGTTTTGTCAGCAAAAGCTGCCTTTTGCCGACAAAACAGGGAAGGCGTACACACTTCAAAGCTACTTTTGGCAGCAAAACTCCGCTGTTTTGCCGACAAAACAAAACCACCTCGACGAGAGGCATAGAGCTTTTTGCGGCAAAGTTAAAGCGACAAAGTGTCAGTGTAGACACTACCGTTTGTTTTGTCGACAGAACTGGCTTCCACCAGTATCCCACAATGCCTGCTGTGACCGCTCTGCTCACTGTTTTGATCTCTGCTGCCCTGCAGGCATGCACCCCTCCCCTTTGAAAGCTCCCAGGAAGTGTCTGACAGCTGAGGTGCTGCTCCAGTTGCAGGGACCAAAGAACAAATCATTAATGTGGAATCCTCCTGTTCTGCCGTGCACTAGGAACACAGGGGCAGGCAGACTGTTGCTGCTGCTGGGGTGGGGTATTGTGCTGCGTTGACATTTCTCAGCGCTGAGAGCTCACAGAGCTGCTCAGGATGCTGCTTCCGGCAGCTGAGGAGGCTGTGGGAGAACTCGGAGGGAATCCCAGAACCACAGGCAGGCAGAGCGGGCTGCTTTGGGAGAGACGCCGAGCAGAGCCGGGAGTTGACATGGGGTGTGTGTCCGTCCCCCTTCCCCTATCTCAGGATAAGTCGGTCAGCCTGCTGTCTCCCCTGCCCCAGACACACCACTCTCCTCTCCCACATGCACATTTCAGTTGAAAAAGCAGCTGACAGTCTAGTAGGATGCCCCTGGAATGATGGGATTGAGAAACCTGCCCCATGCGGCATTGCAAACCCTTCCCAAAGCACCCTGCGGCCAGTTGCACAGTGGGATCACTACCACAGTGCACTGCTTTCTGTGTCAATGCAAGGCCTGTTAGTGGGGCTGTGCTCTGCTGACACAAGGAGCTAGTGTGGACATGCAACAGCGGTTTTAATTAAAGCGGTATAACTTCTGCCGACAAAACTCTGTAGTGTAGACAAGGCCTGAGAGCGAGACAAGTCAGACATCTGCCAGGGATACAGATGAGCTTAGAACCTCTCTCCATTTACACTTCACAGGGAAGGGGCTCTCCAGGGGGCAGAGCAAAGTCAACTGGCTCCAGAGGGCACAAACACATGCCGCTCATCGAAGGGGTGCAGGGAGAGCATGGTAAATGGGCTGAATAACCAAACGCAGACTGTCCCACAGGGCTGCCGCCTCCCATGGGTTCCCACGTGCCCTCTTGGTGAGCAGTCCTGCAGACGGGCTACCTGGGAACCAGGTCAGTCAAGCAGCAGCCAAGCCTGCCATTACACACAGGCCAATCCCCACCGTCTGTCTCTTCCAGGGCACAGTGGGGTCCCCTCCCCACAGCCACGGTGTTCAGGTACCCAGCTGGCTTGCCCGGACACATACACGGCCCTAACACACCTGCTACCAGAATGCACACGGCCTAGGAGGGGGAGGATTTCTTCCAGTCCGAAGTTCTGGGTCTGGAATACAGCGGAGAAGGCTCAGGGACATTGCACTCCACTCCGGTCTGGGGCCTTCTCCCTTGCTCAGCTCTTGCCTGCATTTCCCTCTCCCCTTTCCTCCTCGCTGTCTGTGCAGGCCCCGCCCCATGGTGGCACCGCCTGCAGCCCCTGACCGTGGCCGCATCACAATAGTGCTTGCTGCCCACTCCACTTAGGTGCTGCAGAACGTCCAGGACATGCTGGGCCCTTTATGTTGCTGTGGCAGACCCAATGTAATTTACAGTTGTGTTAAAGTCCCTTTGCATGGCCAGAGCAGGGCAAAGGCCACAGCGAAAGTGAGAATCTGGCAGGTCATATTTTGGAGCCTGCGTGAAGCAAGTGGGACCTTGCAGAGTTTGGTCCATGTGCAGACTCCTGCCCCTGGTAGCAAGTCGTTCCCGTCCCTCTCAAACCTGGATGCTGAATTTAGCCATCAGATGGGGCTAGGGCTTCTCTTTCCTCCATCAAATCAGCCAGTCTGCCCGAGCTCATGGTGGGCACTCATGGGGGCAGCTCTCAGGAGCCAGATGCCACCCACGGCTCTGCACAAGGCCACCCTCACGCCGTGCTCTGCCGTCTCCCCCCAGCTCAGTCACTTACACCTCTGCACAGAAAAGGGCAGGTTGGTGGGAAAGTGCCATTCCACTGGCTAGCAACGACAGCGCTAGGCACAGGGCAAGCGAGACTCTGGCCCTTCCCCACTTTCCTGTGTCTTTTCTCACGATACCCCTGCAACGGTGCTCATCTCCTACAAGTCCTTCCTGGTCACTCACTGCTTCTGGGCCACCACTCCCTGTTCCCTCACCTCCAGCACATACAAGTACTGTACAGCTGTCAGCCAAACCTAACGAGGCCTGTGCCTAGGGCCTCCTGCTACTGTGCACCATTCCTGTGACTTGCATTGTCCAACTCGGAGCGTGAGTTCATCGGACATTGTGCCAGTCACACCTCTGCTGCTGCAGCAGTCGCCTTACTGAGAAGAATGGCCAGTTGAGCAAGAGTCTGGGAGTCGGAACGGCTGGGTTCTAGGCAGCTCTGGGGTCGGGGGCTGGGAGTTAGGCCTTCTGGGTTCTATTCCTGACTCTTGCTGTGTCTGCATGATTGGAGCGGCACGGGGTGGCCCTGAGAGTCTTTCCTTGCCACACTCACTCCAGACCACCAGCACCAGCAGGCCATTGGCTGCAGTGCTATTTACAGGTCCCAGCCAGCTCCCCCTCTTGCTCCTAGGGGGCATGGAGCAGTACTAGCAGTCAGCTCTGCCTTCCTCCC